TGCCTTTTGAATTCAATTAAGTACCATGACCTAGATGACTGACCCTTCACAGAAACATCCATATACCTGGCTAAGCCTTCAGATAAATGTAACATATTTGGAAGTAGTAATCTTCTTTATTTTTTATTATATGACATTGCTTGGGCTTATTATTTCCACATGACATAATAAAAACACCCGTCCAAGAGAAGAAGGGTACATTTACATTCAATTTCTTACTTGTGTTTTTCACTCAATCCCTGTTCCTTAAATTATCTCATTTTGTTCTCTGTTGATCCTGCCCTTAATTTTCAACATTCTGTATCTGCCTCAAGTGGTAACATCTTTCAAAATTTAACACCCTCATGAATTTTTCTTCTTTTGAAAGCCTTGTTCTTAGTTTTTCACATCCAGTCTCAAGAACCTTTCAGCCAGTTCTAGTTGTTGTAGTTTACTGTCCTCCTGGCCCATATTCTGAGTTTCTATCTGAATTTGCAGAATTTTTATCAGATTCAGTCCTGAACAGTACTAGAATAATTGTGGTTGGTGATTTCAATATCCATGTGGATGTTGATAATGATAGCCTGAGCACAGCTTTCATGTCACTATTAGACTCTATTGGTTTCACCCAGGGTGTAAACGAACCTACTCATCGTTTTAACCACACCCTGGATCTTGTTTTAGTTTATGGAATTGAAATCCATAACCTTACAGTTTTCCTAGAAAATCCTCTGCTATCAGACCATTTTTTTATTACATTCGATTTTGTCCTACCAAAATTACCTCTGCCTGGAAGAGGTGTGCTCTCTAGAAGTTTGTCGGATAGTGCTGTTGCTAGATTTAAGGAAGCCATTTCAGCTGTTTTTGATTCAGTACCGTGTTTCAACCCAGTTGGAAACCCTTATAATAGCTTTAGTCCCTCTCAGCTAGATCAGTTTGTTGATAGTGCAGTGGATTCGCTGAGAGTTACTCTGGATTCGATTGCTCCCTGAAACAGAAGGTTATCAAGCGGCGGAGAGTGGCTCCATGGTTCAACTCAGAAACCCGTACTCTAAAACAATCGTCGCGGAATTTTGAAAGAATATGGCGCTCGACCAAAACGGTAGAATCTCGTTTTTTCTGGCAGGATAGTCATAGAAGATATATGAAGGCTCTACGTCACGCCCAAGCTGCCTACTACTCCTCTCTAATTGAGGAAAACAAAGGCAATCCTAGATACCTTTTCAGCACTGTAGCCAGGCTGACAGAGAGTCATGGCTCCATTGAGCCTTGTATTCTTCTAGCCCTCACCAGTAATGACTTCCTGAGTTTTTTCAACAACAAAGTTTTAGACATCAGAGACAAAATTAGTAATCTCCTGCCCTTACCTGGTGCGGATATGTCTGATACGGCAGAGACAGTTCCAGGACCAGATATTAGTCTCGACTGTTTTTCTCCAATCAACCTTTCAGAGCTATATCCCATTTTTTCTGCGTCGAAACCGTCAACCTGTATTTTGGACCCAATCCCAACCAAGCTGTTGAAGGAAGTTTTTCCCTTAGTTAGCAACTCTATATTAGATATGATCAATTCGTCTCTACTGGCAGGCTATGTACCCCAGGCATTTAAAGTAGCGGTAATCAAACCTCTACTTAAAAAGCCTACTCTGGACTCAGGAACTCTGGCTAATTACAGGCCTATATCCAACCTTCCTTTTTTCTCGAAGATCCTGGAGAAGGTGGTAGCTAAACAGCTGTGTGACTTTCTCCATGACAACAGTTTATTTGAGGAGTTTCAGTCAGGATTTAGAGTCCACCATAGCACTGAGACTGCACTAGTTAGAGTTACAAACGATCTACTTCTAGCTTTAGACAGGGGACTTCTGTCTGTGCTCGTCCTGTTAGATCTTAGTGCTGCTTTTGACACCATTGACCATCGGATCCTGTTGTACAGACTAGAGCATTTGCTTGGAATTACAGGGACTGCTCTAAGTTGGTTTGAATCCTACTTATCAGACTGATCTCAATTTGTACATGTTAATGATGAGTCCTCTATGCACACTAAAGTTTGCCATGGAGTCCCACAGGGTTCAGTGCTTGGACCAATTCTCTTTACATTATATATGCTTCCTCTGGGAAATATTATGAGGAAACACTCCATACAGTTTCATTGTTATGCAGATGATACTCAGCTTTATGTATCAATGAAGCCCGATGGCACCAGTCAGTTATGTCAGCTAGAAACGTGCCTTAAGGACGTTAGGACCTGGATGACCAGAAAGTTCTTGCTACTTAACACAGACAAGACTGAAGTTATTGTGCTAAAAGGCCCTAAAAACCTCAGAGAGACTTTTTCTAGTGATTTAACTGTCCTTAGTGACATCAGCCTGGCATCTAGCACCACTGTTAGGAATCTAGGAGTTCTTTTTGATCAAGATATGTCTTTTAGCTCTCACATCAGTCAAGTTTCAAGAACAGCCTATTTTCACCTCCGTAATATATCCAAGATTAGGAATATCCTGTCGCAAAATGATGCAGAAAAACTAGTTCATGCATTTGTTACCTCCAGACTGAATTATTGTAACTCTCTTTTGTCAGGGTGCTCTGGCAAATCTCTAAAGACTCTTCAACTGGTCCAGAACGCTGCAGCTCGTGTACTGACCAGAACCAGGAAATGGGACCACATCACTCTTGTCCTGGCTTCTCTGCACTGGCTCCCTATACAGTCTAGAATAGAATTCAAGATCCTTCTTCTCACCTACAAAGCGCTAAATGGCCAGGCACCATCCTACCTGAAGGAGCTACTAATGCCGTACTGTCCCTTGAGAGCGTTGCGGTCCCGGAGGGCAGGCCTGCTGGTGGTACCTACAGTCTTCAAGTGTACTATGGGGGGTAAAGCCTTCAGTTATCGCGCTCCTCTCCTCTGGAACCGCCTTCCAGCTGGGGTCCGGGAGGCAGACACAGTCTGTATTTTTAAGAATAGACTTAAAACTTTCCTTTTTGATAAATCTTATAGTTAGTGCTGGTGCTGGTGTAGACCAGCTACTAGTTATGCTGCTATAGGCTTAGACTACCGGGGAAACTGGCACCTTGAGCTCCTCTCTCTCTCTCTCTCTCTCTCTCTCTCTGTGCATGTACAGTACATCATATTACTGCATGTATCTATCTGTAAATCTCAGTCACTAACCACCTACTTTCCTGAGAGCTCTTGAGCTCTCTTAGGCTCCTCAAGATCGTTGGTTGACGGCCTGCCAGAACAATTTTTCTTACCGCTGTAACTTTTGCTGCTTTGCTAAAGTGCTCATGATGGATAGGCCGGATCTTTGTAACGTAACAATGAGTAAGGTCTTTTACCTGCTTTTTGTAACATAACAATGAGTAAGGTCTTTTTACCTGCTCTTTTGTAATGTTAACAGACAAAGAGTAAGGTCTTTTACCTGCTTTTTGTAAAGTGTCTTGAGATAACACTTGTTATGAGTTGACGCTATACAAAATAAATTGAATTGAATTGACTTGAATTGAAAAGGACCCAGCCTAAACAGAACCCTGCCCTCGTATCCTGTAGACCACTCAGGCTAAAATAAAGTGAGACGGTCTACAGAGGGTTTCCATCAGCTTTTCCCGCCCTACACCCCCACTATTAACTAAGGCCGGAGCTGGCCGGAGCACGACGCATCAATTTATCACAGAAAAGAACAAAAGGGACGGGAGGTCAGACACCGAAACAACATTAAAACATCCGGTTTATTTTCAGAATAATACCCTCCGTTTTGAAGGTTCAGAAAAACGACCGTTTGTGTGTTTGTTTATGTGTTTATAAGGTTTTTATTGACTTTTATACCATGTACATCATATTATCTTGTGATGTCGCGAGTGAATCTGTAAAATTACCGCGGAAATTCCTTTGTCTCCGTACTTTGGCTGTGCTCTCCATGCTGCAGACTGAGAACGCAGCCGGTGGGTGTTAACGGATGAGAGTGCAGAGAACCAACTGAAAAGGCGTTGGGCGCAGCGCTTTTTCCATAGGCTTGTATGTAAAAAACGGTGCTGGCAGTTGAAAAAAGAAGACAGGCGTGAACACAGCCTAAGCCCTGCTCCTGTTGCCTAGCAACCTGGACAAATGCACTGGAACTGGCTAACATAATCAATGTCACATTAGGCCCCGTGTCCACCTAGTGCAGAAAAGTGCTTGCTGTGCGCTCAGGAAACTCTTGTATGAAGCGCTTGTCTGCTGAGAAGAAAAGCACTGCTCGTCTTTTCTGTCTCTATGACAACGGCCTTTGTATGACCGACACTGCTCTGTTACTATTAATTGTATGATTTTTATATTTGAGATAGTTTATTTCCCAATCAGACAAAGAGTGAGGAGGATGTGGGTAGAAGACACCTGTAGGCACAGATCTGTAGGCGGTAAAACTACGGGGAATAACATTCATATGAAAAAGAGCGCCAGTGACGCCTTCCTGAACAGTCGAATGATTTTCAACTTGAACGCACAGAGCGGCCGCTTAAAAACGGCAGAGCACTCAGAAAAGAGATGCTGGGCGCTGCGCTTTTTCTCCAGGCGGCCACCAGCTGATGCAAACGCTCTCTACTCATTGAAAACAATTGAAAATAGATGAAGGCTACATGCTACACAGGGCCTAACTTCACCTCTCATTTGAAAGATCAATTGAAAGTTTCAATGCCCAGTTCGTTTTTTTAGCATTTGTATCTCATCATAAATAATTATTTATGTTCAAAAGTTTGATCCTCTTTCTCACTGGAATTGTCATGCAACAAATCTTGATGTGTTGGGCTACAAGGACACACCGGCTGCATCCGGCACAGGAAAAGTAGGATGCATCTGTTGCTCCATTTAAAGAGGACAGCCTACAGCATGAAATCTGTCTTCAAATGTGGATTCAGCCCCTGGATTGAGACTCAGCTTCTGTGTCCCTACACTTGTTGCATATCTGCAAGAGTAGCCCAACACTCACCCAGTGAATATTCATTATTAGCAGAGGTGAAAGAAAAGGTCACACAGGAAAAGTTTTTGCCATTTTCATGTTTTACTGTTTATAAATATTCAGTTTAAATACACTAATAAAATAGCTTGGACATTTTCATGACTCGATACATACTAACAGTTTCCCAAAAATTGAGATACTTTTAAAGATTTCAGGATCCACAAACCTGAGCCACACAAAGAAGAGAAGATCAACAGAAGGTTTGCTAACAGATGCTACACAGTAGCCGATAGAAAAAAGTTTCCACTGCTCGTCGCTCTCATCGGTACCTCAGTGGGCTGTGATTGAAACAGAAAACTGTCAAATGCTTTGATCCAGATTAATTATAAATAGCATCATCCTGTGTCTGTGTTGAATTATTGATGGAGATTGGCAAAGGCTTGGGCTTTGAATAATTGTGTGATTGATTGCAAAGCAGTAATATTTAATTAAAAAGCGTCATGACAGCATGTCACTTTTGGAATCTGTAAATTCATCAGTAGTATATGCATGTGTCAAATCAGGAAAAGATCAATTAATTCATACATAAAAGATACATCCAGGCACACTAGTATCTCAACCACTGATGGGCTAAAATTTTCCCATCACACGCTCAGAATTGAGACATATTCAACACTGGTAGATCTGCATAGATGTCCAATTATGAGTTATTGCACGTCTATGGGACTCACATTTCTTAGAATGACATGCATGGGAAGATAAGAATTTAGCCTTTTTTTTTATTTTTTAGAATAACTTCCCACCATGGATCAGTGTACACTTAAGAAATGTAGAAGAAATACCAGCCTGCTCACAGTCTCGTTGGCAGAGTCGCTACCTTGTGAATAGCCGTTATTCAGAGCTCTAAGGGAACAAAGCATTTATAGAAAAATAATAAAATGATAGGGCACACACACACATCCACACAGCAGCAGACTTTCAAAAGGAAAATGTCCTCTTTGGATGCTCATCTGCTGTCAAATAGAATCTTTCTGTTACATGATAAAAACATCACTTTGCAATGCTCACTTCTCTTCTCTTAAATGAATCATCAGCTGATTCACAACTCAGGAACAATGTCCTGCGTTTCCCAGCAAACCTGTTAACAAAGAAGGGCTCGACCTTGTGCAACGTGTGTAGGTGGAGAATTTCATGACGAGCCCATTTCAGGTGCTGCTTCCTTTAAAATGTGTTCTACAGAGGACTGAGGGCCGAAGCCTTCTCCAGCTCCTTAAACGAGAGGAACAGGAAGACTGCCCGGGAACTATTTGAGTGTTTTGTAAAATATGTATACAAGCTAGAATAAGTATTCAAACAGACATCAAAAATTTTAAATCAGGGGTTGATGGTAGTTTAAAGCTCCTGTAAGGAACTTTGAATGTGGGTTGATTTTGGCACCCCCTATGGGCAAAGCAGGTACATCTCATCCAGATGTTAGACTTTCTTGCTCACTGTCATTTTGATGGATGGGGTCGTCAAAATTCTGTCATGTGTTTTTACCTGTCATTTAATTTCTTTTCCAATGATCCTATCACTGGATCAGAATGTCATCAATGATATACCATCTCTTGTTGTCCCCTCTATGTGTTTAAGGATTAAACTGAACAACTTTCATGAAGCAACTGCCTGACAAAAAAACACTGCGGAGCTACAGTCATTGTTTAGTTTGGCTAATGTTAGCATTCACTCGCTCATGCTCTTAGTTCTGCAGTTCTGCATATGAATCTTTGCAGGGGAAACTGTAAACCATGACTGTTCCTGCAGCTCGCGCTAACCTGCTTTGTCTAACACCTTTTAACAAACATTCAAAATTCCTATAAATAAATTAGCAATGTTGTTGGTGGTGCTTTTGGAGGTCATATAGAGGAATCAGTGTTAATTTCAGTCTGTTTCATAACCTGATAATATCTCCTCACAGGAGCTTTAAGTAGCCTATTGCTAAGCGAATTAGTATTAATTGTTTACTGTATTTTTTGGTGAATCTTAAAAGTTGAAAATGTTTACTCATTGCACAGGAACAGTGAATTAGTGTGTACCTGCAGATTTGAAGATGCATCAAATTTGATCCAGAGAATATAAAGCACAATGGATTCTTTCAGCAGTAGACGGATAAAAAGAGAAAACATATTTGAGGAAATTGGTCTGGTTGAGCTTTCTGGCTTCACGCTGGCTGCCTGTACACATGAATGGTCTCCACATTCTAACTGCTCCACAACCCTGTGCACTCCAGACCAAAAGTTTTATCTCAATGCTACCCCCCTCCCCCACCCCCCTTTTCTCTTAATAAATCTGAATAATGTGTTTGAATTCAAACCGTTCTAAATATCTTAAGAATCCTGATTTTGCTGATGTGATAATTCAGTAACAAGTCCTCTTCTGTACTTTATTGTTCATATGAATTTGTCATCTTGCGTCTGCCTCACGTTTATTTTTGATGTCACACACAGCTGATGCACCAATCATATGACTAGTTTAGAGTAAGTACATCTCAGAAGGGTAGCTCTGATATCACCTGTTTGACAGCTACTTTCATCAGACTGATGTGCTTTCTATGAAATCAGACCTGGCCTGGGCTTTTTAAGGTGTGCTTTATCGTCTTCAACCCTCACAGTTTCCACACCACTTTCAATGTATCAGTGCTGCAAGAGCAAGCTTTGTGTTTTGAGATGGTATTAAAGGGGCCAGGAGTCGGAAAATCTTCTTTTCTGGATTAATCTTTTCGCTCTGTGGCTGAACCCCATAAAATTGCGTCTGCCAGGATGATTGACAGCTGCGCATGTAATCAAATGGATTCTCAAGCAAGACTATGAAACTTTTGATGAAAGGAGTTTCCCTCACAATGCCTATTTAAATCACTCTGTCCTTATTCTCCACTTTCACACTAACTTTTTTTGTGATTCTGAGGAAATCTGTGGCATGTGTTCTGCAAACACACAGGAGTCGAGTGGTTTGTAACTCTAATAACTCAAAGCCTGACTCTTCCATGTCCTTTTTGTAACAAATCAACCAGTATGCAGTATGTAAACATACTATTCACGCACCCTGCAATTTTCCCTCTGCTCATAAACCTATTGAGAACATGTTCCCGCAGTCTGCTCTGGTGATTGTGTGATGTAACTGAGTTAGTACATGCCCTAGTGTTAACTGAGGACAGAGACCCAGAATCCATCACAGGCCTGCTTCTGCAATAACCCCAGTGCTCACATGATTTCATGAGCCTGTCCCCTGGAACAAGCGACTATATTTCTCATTCCGGTTGCAGAGAGGGAAGTTTTAAGAGCCCCAACTCCATCTGTGAGTGTCTCTTCGGGTCATTGCTATAAAACGGTTATTAGGTTACTGATGGCCCATGTCTGATTGAAGAACACCTTTTTTTTCCTGTGCAGATTCTCGTTACAAATAGGTCTGCCACCTAGGCTCATTTTTTGGACTCTTAATTCCCTGCTTTGGTCAGCAACTTAGCCTACTTCTGACTGGAGTCTAATTTTTGTTAAGTGCACCAGAACTCTGTGACGGTGGAACCTGGTTTGGTTTCATTTTTCTTTTTTTTTTTAGGTTTGAAGCTCCTCACTTAAACTCTCTGGACTTCTTGATTGGTCCATCACAACACAAAGTGCTCCAGTGGCAGACTGTTGTCAGTGTGGTCACTGTGGGAGAACAGTCAGTATGTTAGTGATGGTCCATTTCTGATCAGTGCAGTCCTGAATGGCCAGATGGAAGGTGAACTCTGACTGTTTGCTCTCCACCAGCTCCAAGCAACGCTGAGACTCAATGTTCTGGATGGAGCCACCCTGCAGAGAAAAATACAAACAGACGGAATGAGTTAGATTTACAGTTCACAAGCAATAATGCATTACAGCTGGATACTGTCATAGGAAATAATGGGTCACAGTTGAAGTGCATTATTTCACATCTTTACAACAAACAGAATATCTGTTGCTGGACTATTGCAGTTTTTTTGCGTATGAAGAAAAATGAAGTATTTGTTAAAGACAACACTAGAGAGACTTTGATAAAGATTGTGCGACACTGCTGGTTTCTTGTTTTGCTGGTGGGCTGTTTTGTGTTTCAGGGGCCAGTGGGTGTGGCTGCGTCACCCTGAATTGGAGAACACCTGGGCCCGGTGTTCTCCAATCCATAACAGCAGGTCCAACTTCCTCATTGTGGGAGACAGGGAGAAAGAGAGGGATAAGGATCCAGATACAAAAACAAATATTTAAAGGAACAGACCTCGTATAAACCATATTACACTTATGTCGAGATATGCCATTCAAACAGATGCCTGCCAGCGAGTGGGTGGTTACTGGATCCATCATTTACAGCAAAAACCTTTTTAATTGGTCTTACTGTTTAGATCTTTTGACTTGCTTGATCATCTGCTGGATATATTCTGTAAAAGATACAAGCCTCTTCTCAGGAAAGCTGCAGAGTCAAATGGTCTAAGAGGCATTGGCCTGAATATGTTTGACCTTGTGTTGTGCATTTCATAGCCTGTAAACACAAATTAAAAACCAGTTTAATACAGCGGCCAGAGGGCAAGAAACAAGTGCAGCAAAAGGAGTGCTTTCCAGCTCCTTTTTGACCTCATCAATACGACCAACATTTAGATACGATATTAAAAATAAGTAGCAAGTCCCCAATCTCTGGCACCTTGATTTTTGGCATCACAATCTTAAACATGTGGGATCCTTTGCCTTTGCCTCCTTTGCCTATCCTTTTTATCCTGCACTACAACGGGCCAAATGCAACAAAATTTCGTTCTTATCTGCACTGTAAAGTACAAGTTTGAATGACAATAAAGAAAGTCTAAGTCTAAGACTAAGTCTAAGACTGCATATGTTCACTATAACAAAGGACATAAGTGTTGTCATATATCAGGCTGCTTTGATTGGCCAATGGGTCATTTAACCTTCTCTTTCTCAGGATTCAAACTAAACCTTACTAAAACTACTAAAACTGATCCTTTAGACGGTACATACGTATATGGTTTCTATAGCCTACTGTTTCTTTGGTCCTCAGTTTTAATCAGTTCTGCAGTTATTAAACGTCACACTGAGATCTGATACAGGTTGGATTTTTATCATCCGCTGGATATTGCCTTCTTATATTCATTGGTATTTAGATAGTTGGCAATACTGCTGATTTAATATTTGTGCCAAGAAAGCATATTGCATATTGGAGCATATTGAAGTGAACTAAATTGACGGAGACAGAGGGAGACAGTGTAGGAATGCAAAACATCTGTGTGTATATTTTTGTGGTTTCTTTGTGTGTACACACTCTCGTTGTTCCAAACAATGTCACTTTGAATTATAGGTTTGCTTTTACTTAATATGAACCCCTACCTCTAAAATGTGTGTGTGTGTGTGTGTGTGTGTGTGTGTGTGTGTGTGTGTACATCTTAGCTTTTTTGAACAATACTCTGGCACTCAAAGTAGGCCCTTTGTGACATGTCAAAAACAGTAATATGTTTTAATGAGGTCGAGCCCCAGCAAAGAGACTAAAGCCATTTGTGTCAAACTCACTGTGGGTTTAAGGAAGACTGCTTTGCTTAAAAAAAAATCTATATGCTTTACATCTTCTAAAATAACCTACACTCACACATACACAAAAAAACATACACATACACACAGACACAACAATCTAGACCTGAAAAGGTAATTAATGTAGAAGTGTTTATCTACATCTTCTACAGAAATGGTTGACTCAAATACATAATAAAAAGCAGCGATACAGTCGGGTTCTCCTCGAGGCTTTCAGCTCCCTGAGAACATATCGATTCTCTCAGCCTGCTGGTCTGTGACCACAGCGTCCTCTGCACGCAGCAGTTTGCCCACACATGAGCTGGACAGCATGTGTAGGTGTTTCTCTCTGATAGAGCAAAGTGTCCACTCACTGATGTCCCACACACATATGTGATCTCTCTCTCTCTCGCCCTCCCTCCCCTCTCTCTCTCTCTCTCTCTCTCTCTCTCTCCCTCTCTTTCTCTCTCTCTCCCTCTCTCTCTTTCTCCCTCCCTCTCTCTCTCTCTCTATCTCTCTCCCCCCCTCTAACTCACTCCCTCCCTCCCTCTCTCTCTCTCTCTTTCTCCCTCCCTCTCTCTCTCTCTCTCTATCTCTCTCCCCCCCTCTAACTCACTCCCTCCCTCCCTCTCTCTCTCTGTCTTTCTCTCTCTCTATCTCACTCCCTCCCTCCCCCTCTCTCTCCCTCTCTCACTCACTCCCTGCCTCTCTCTCTCCCTCCCTCCCTTTCTCTCTTTCTCTCTCCCTCCCTCTCTCTGTCTCTCTCTCTCACTCCCTCCCTCCCTCTCTCTCTCCCTCTCTCTCTCTCCCTCTCTCTCTCACTCCCTCTGTCTCTCTCACACACACACACACACACACACACACACACACACACACACACACACACACAGTCTTGGAGAAAAGGACAGAGATGAGAGTGAATCCAGTTGAGATCAACGTATCGGATTTACATGGTTTAACCTCTTTTTACATCGATCTCGGGCTAATCAGTGAATTACTGGACCACGAGTTAAATCCTATTTGATTTCCAATGATCGACCAGTTAAACCCCTATACAAAGTTCAAGTCTTTATTAAGGGCACTTTCATGTGATGCAGGTTGAAAATAATGCCTCTTAAAATCCAATCAGCAAGTAAATGATCTTTGTAGAGTTGGATAAGAGAAGCTCTTCATTAAGTATTTAAATGGTCGATATAATGATGGTTTCAAAAAACAGCCTCTGTAGTTTCTTTAAACATTGCATGTTTGTTATTGCTAATGTGTTAGCTGGTATCTCCTTTCTTATCTCCATCTTCAGACAAATAACTTTGCCAAACTTCACAGTCGCATTAGCTCACCTGCACACCAAACACAATCAGACAAATGATAATGTCACTGCTATGACTGTGACTGTTCATCCCTGGGAGACAGAATCAGCACCCTGTTAGAAGTCAAGTTAGGATTCTAGAAAAACCTAAAGTGAGCATATCACTGAGAGCGTGTCCTAAAAGCGTGCGTGTTAGATATCCCTTTTTTTTTGTGCACGGACGCTCCCTGTCCACACTGCACCTTTAAATATTCATTTTTCTGTTCTGAATTTGAGTTACTCCTAGCAAACATCATCTGATGCATTTGTTTTGACGGTGGGAAACGCATGTGTGTTGCTTTGTATTAGTGTTGATGACACAAGTACAAGCACAACATTGAAATCAAGAATGTGGATGTTATTAATGCACCATGATCTCCTCTTTGTAAAACAAGCTCTGTTGAGTGAGAGAAGCCAAGGAAAACCAAGAACCATTCAACTGTTGGCAATCCCAGTGCCTTCCTGCTTGTCTATGTGAGCTACAGTAAGGAAAATAAAAATGGTATGTTGTGTCGTGCTGCTTCGCAATGCATTGTGGACACTCGAATAAGAAACAATGGAATCAAGCTGATTTGGAAAAAGGTCTCTCGCTCGCTGTTAGGAAACGCAGAAAAAGAGGTTCCTGTCCTTCAACAGTTCATGACTGATAGCAAACAAAACTCTGTTAAAACCATTCAAATTCATTCTTTTCTATCAAATTGAATGACAGCTAGGCATTGTTGCCTCAATGTTATTAACAATGTTTAAATATGTATTACGTGTAGCACATTCACTTACAGTTCTTCTGTACTTTCATACACCCCACAATTAAACCTTCATGACCAACATTCTACTTATATTTGACGATGGAAGCAAGCAAGCTAATTGGTTCAGATAGAAGTGATTGTACCCGACCTAAAAAGCCTCTGCATGTTTCTAATAAGCTCCACGAGCAGAACCGTGTTAGCACTAGGATAAATATCGGAGATGCTTTTGAAAAATGGAGAGAGGTTAGAACACAGAAAGGTTTTAAAACTGGCTAAACACTGGAGCTACATCTCCAGGGAGGAGGTGGTGTGGGGAGACAGCTCTCCACAATGTTTTGAATTCAGACCGCAGTACCCATTTTAAACGCAAGGAGTTACACAGTGCTCCTTTAAAGCCTCATTCAAAAATTCTTTACAATAAGAATGTCTTTCATAAGACGTCACACCTCAAAGAAACATTGCCATCTCTGCAGATCTAGTCAGCTCTTCAGAGCCTTATGGTGTCACTCATTGCTGTGTTAACCATTTGTTAGCCTTAATGCAACAGTGCATCTATACACATGGTAAATGGTAAATAGACTTGAGCTTGTACAGTGCTTTTTTAGTCTTTTGACTACTGAATGTGCTTTTACACCACATGTCACACCTACACATTCACTCACTGATGCCGGTAGAGGCTGCTATATAAAGTGTCCATCAGAATGAACTAATCGCATTCACACACATTAATACGTTGTTGCCGAAGCAGCCCATATATTATACATTTGTTTGTATCAGTCACCTAAAAAAACAATCATCTGTCCAGACCATCTTAAAAAAAGACAGAAAGAACCTTCGCTACAAAGTCGACCAAAATATTTAGGTTTTTGGAAGTTGTAGCCATCAGTCATCGGCAGGATTTCCCCCTGGAACAGAGTGGAGCTGGAAACTGTTGACATCTCATCAATCAGTCACTTTCATCTGCAGAGCTCTGTCTGACAGAACCTGACAGCATGTCATCTTTTGTGATAAATTTAGTTTCTAGGTCACAGTTTTTCCCTAAATTTGCAGTGCGCTCTATGGATACCCCTTTCCCCCTTAAGACTTCTAATGTTTAATTTCATAAAGGTTTATTCATTTGAAATGACAAGGTAGTCATTCATTTAGAAGAGGAGATCTGTGTCTGCTGCAGGAGATCC